ACCCCGCCCCCGCCCGCCCCACCACGTCCCGCGCCCCGCCATGCCGGCGCTGGCTCGAGACTGGCGTGGTGCGGCAGTCACAGGACGCAGCAGAAGGCACCACCAGTCTTCCCGCCTTTCCAACCCGCGCCGGTTTGTTGTTCGCATGGATCCAGTCGGAGCCGCCCGGCCCGGCCCCGACGCACGCACAGCTGCACCCGCAGCCACCCGCCAGGCTGCCCACTCTCGAACCGCTTCGCGGTCGTCATCGAGCTATCGAAAGCGATTCGAACGAGAGCGGTGGCTTTCGCCGGCCTAACAGGCAGCGGGTGCATGGCCCTCGGCGCAGCGCAGCCCCCTCCAGGATGTTGCGGGTGAGTGGCCTCAGGTACGCAGGAGTGGTGTTCTAAGTGTACTTCGGCAGCCGGAGAGAGAATAGCTGGTGGAACACAAATGTTACCGATTCGTAGACCCTTTACCCCCACTACCGGCGTGACGTAGATACGGGAAGCTTTCGGCCAATATGGAAGCTTTCTTGTTGTACCCGCTTTCCATCTTCCTCCGCTAGCCTAAGTACACGTTTCACATTCGTGTTCGGAAATGAATGGGTGGAAACCCTTGCCGACGAGCGGTCGCCTTACCTATCCCATGTTGTACCGTACCAGTTCACCCCCCCCCCCTTCCCCAATCTGATAACGGAGATGCTGTGGCTCCTTATCGGCGAGTGGAGGGCTTAACGCACGGGGCACACGTGACGCGACGTGACGCTGCTACGTCTGCTCCTGGTCTGGCCGGCTTCGCACCTGGCGATGGAGGACGAGGCCGAGGGCGAGGACGTGTGGACAGGTAAGTGTGAAGGGCCCGCAGGGCCAGCGCGGCCGTGTAGACCGCGCCCCGCAGCAGCGCCCCGCCATAGGACCACCGGGACCACCGGGACCACCGGCAGGACCGGCAGGACCGACAGGAAGGCACCAATTCTCGGTTTGACACCGAGGTCCGCCATGCCGCCGGGCCGGGCCGGGACGCGCCGCCGCCGGGCTGATGACGGCGGTCCGGGTGCGCGACGGGGGGATAGGGAGGGGGGTGCCGTTGGCTCATGGTCAAGGTCGTAGACGCGTCGACTTTTTGGAAGGTGTGCTGGGTTCAACGACTTACCGACTTTCTGTGTGTATCTTGTTTAGCAGGCGGGTGATGGGGGCGCGGAGGATACCACCGTCCTTTAGTCTTCTTTGACGGTGAGCAGCCCCCACGATATGGACGGAACGAGGACGTACTCCGGAGGGCAGGTGAACAGCCAGCCCAACGGCCAACCTAACGGCCAGCCCAACGGCCAGCCCAACGGCCAGTCCAACGGCCAGACCAACGGCCAGACCAACGAACAACAAAACGGCCAGCTCAACAACGAGCCCAAAGGCGTCCCGTCGACTGCTGTGACAACGGTGCCGTCCATCTCCCTAACTATGGGCACCCCGGTTCCTTCATCAGCGTCCATGGCCAGCAGCGAGCCGTCCAGCTGCTGCGAGGCCGCGGCTCGGCCGGAGCTCGGCTCCCGGCACCTGGACGGCGACGCCTTCAGAGCGGACCTCGCCCCGGACCGCTACATCGACGAGGAGGTGAGCGCCCAGCTGCACAGAATAGACGATAACTCGGCTGTGGCGCGCGTGCCGCCAGCAGCAGTTTGCTCTGGTCCAGTTGTCTAGGACACGCGTTTCAATACCGAGCGTCACGCTAAACCACGCGAGCACGCGAGCACTGAGCACGCGAAGGTGGCCCCGAACCAAATAGTTTATCTTTCGCAGGCCGGACTGGACGACGAGGAGGAAGAGGAGGAGGAGGAGGATGACGACGACGATGGCATCCACTTTGGCGCGGGGTCCGCGGACGCCAAGGAGTACTCGTCGCTGCTGTCGCCGCCCGGCCCGCAGCCCATCATGGTGCCCGCCGTCGACGGCGTGCCCGCGTACCCGGAGCGCGGCCACCGGCAGGTGCCGCTCACGCGCCTGCAGCGGCTCTACCTGCACGCCGCGCCCGCCTCGGCCACCTCGCTGCTGCTGGAGTCGCCGCTCGTCGTGACCGCCTCGCACACGGGCGCGCCGCCCACCAAGCTGTTCCGGGTCTCCACCAACAGCAGCGTGCTCAACGCCAAGCCCGTGAGCGGCGACGGCAGGTGAGTGACTGCAGTGAGCGTGGAGCTGGTGCCGGTGGTGGTGACGTCACACATTCCGGGCCCGCTCCGTCACCGGTCGGGTCCGGACGGGACGGACTCGGAGGAGATTCGTGCAAGGGAAGTCAGGTCGCTGTTCGTGGAGGTCCACGTGAGACTGCGAGAGAGGTGACTACGGGTGGGGCTTTCCGTCTGAGGCAGCAAGGCGGCAAACTCTTCCGCCCGTAGAAAGAATCACTGCCCGGCCCGGGAGATTTACCGCCTCCTGGAGATTTCCGGTGCCTCGAGGTCGGACCAGAGCATGCACAACCGGACCCGCCCGCGCCTTTGGGACCTCTAGGGCCTCCAGGACCGTCTGCCCCAGGAGGCACGCGGCCACACTCGGGAACCCCGCCACGACGCTCGCTTCCTCAAACAGTTCAGTTGTCTGCAGTGCCCTCGGTTAATTGTGCAAAACCGAGCCGTACCCCCCCCCCCCCACTATGTTTCCAGAAATGGGATTTGGAGATTTTGCCAGCTTGTGCGGGACGACTTTCCGAATCACACTCCCGCCGTGCGCCGTATATGGTGGTGGTAGGCAACGCACAATCACGCTTGCATCCGGTACAGCATAAACTACAGGCGTTTACGGTCTCCTACGCGAACATTTTTTCCCTGTGCAAAAAACAGTGTAACCAAAAAACCTCTCTCCGTTCTCTGCCACCGGTGATACGACGAAATGGCACACTTCCTTTGTCCCGCTCCGCTCCGCGCGCGACGCCGGGGCGCCAGAGGCGAGATGGCCGAGAACCTATAATGATAGACTGATCAACACAGCTCTGCCATAAAGCAGTCCAAGCAAACACGGCGCCTGTGCTAACGAGCAGCCCGTCGAGTCGAGCGGGGGAAGGGGAAGGGGGCGCCACCTAGGACCGCCAGAGCCTCACCGGCCGGGGTGCGGGTGCGCGCGCACTACGCGGGGGTTCCACGCCCCCGCACCCGGCACCGAGGTCCCCGCCTGCACCAACCTGAGCATCAGTGAGACGGCGCGCAGCACGGCCCAATCCAACACGGAGCACGCAAAATAAAAACTGTTTGCTGAGTTTTGTTTCTTTGCTGTTTCATTACTAAGTTTCAGAGTATTTTTTTTTAATTATATGGGCAAAATTATTGCCCATATCCTCTGAATTTTTCTGTTTAGCTCGATCAGTAAACTTTTTGAAAAAAAGGTGTTTTCGCAAATACCTTTTTTCCCGTGCGTCCCCGGGTTGCTGCGCCGCGGCCAGGTGGGTGCTAACGCGCGGGTCTGCAGTCTGCAAGGTCGCACTGCACCGCCTCCTCTCGGAGACACGGCGACTGGTCAGTGGCGTGCTCTGATAAGATAGAGTGGACCGTACAAAAAGTCCGTGTCCTCGTTTGTCTCAGAATCATTCAGCGTTGTGCGGAAGGTTTAGGTTGGCGCCTGCGATACTCTGGGTAGGCCACCCCGCAGTACACGAGTGCGGCGCAAGCGAGTTGTTGCCTACCTACCAGGCGGTATGAGCTGCTCTTGCACAGCAGCACAGGCTGAACTCTGAACTGTCTGAACTTGGAAGTTCCGTAACGGTGAGCTACGGTCGGGCAAAGAGACTGAGGGCAGAGCGCGGCCCAGGCTGAGACACTTCACGACGCTTTGCCGCGCTTTACGACATATCGTGTAATCCGCCGAGAAAAGTGTTTCCGAATCCACCGCGAGCGGAGCGAGCTGCAATCAGGCCGAAAGTGTTCGGCGTATGGTGGCCGTCCCACTCTCCGCCAACGACGGCCGCGAGCACCACAAGCCGCCCTCGTCGTCACGTGTCATCATCATCACCACCGCCAGCAGCTCAGATCAAACAGCAGCGAAGCGCGCGGCTCGATCTCCGTCATCGCGAGGTCGTGACGCCGATGAGTAGCATTGAATTGTCAAAGTGTGGCGTGCATGGCGCTCCTGGCGCAGGGCCGTGCAGAGCGCCCGCGCGGGCGGGCCCCGCCTCCTGTCCTGCACGCGATGCGCCGGCAGGGTGGGCAGCCCGCGCGGCCCGACGTAGAGTTGGAAGCCCTGGACATTTTCTTGAAAATTTCCGCTTAAAAAGGAAAGTTTCCCTGATTTCGAATGTTTTCCGTTTTTTCCGAAATTTTCCGGAAATTTTGAAAAAAATTACAACCCTAGCACGACGGCGGCAAGCGGAGCAGGCGGGCCACCCACCCAACGTCCAGGGCTTTGCTATGCTATGACTGTGAGCTGGGCAGGCCGGGCTGCTGCCGCAGGCGCTGTCAAGTGGCATCACAACACTGTCCTGTGGCCGCTCCTCGGCCCGCTCGGCCCCCCGCGCGCTCTGTTCCCCGTCCGTAAGGATGAAGCACCGGGTCACTCGGTTCATCTCTGTCTCTCGGCGCGGGGATAACCTAGCGGTCTTTGCTGGTTTGCAACTCCCGTAGGGGGCGGCTCAGCACCTCTAAGCACATTACCTCTAAAGATTTTTACCTCTAAGCAAATTACCTCTAAGGATATTTACCTCTAAAGCAAAGTACCTCTAATGGATTTTACCTCTAAACAAAGTACCTCTAATGAATTTTACCTCAGAAAGCTTATTTTACATGG